ATTAAATAGCATGATGTAAAAATTAAATTGGCATTTTTAAGAATAATCAAATTGGCTGTGCAAGTAATTTCAGCTCATTAAAAGGAGTTGAACGATTACTTAAAAAATGAAATTTAAATTGGCTTTATGCCCAGCTGCACTGCTTCCTGAACTTCAGCCAGCTCCTTGTTTCCTGTCTGCCATTATTGGCCAAATTGATTAATTCAGGTGTGTCTGATTATTGTTGGCATGACTACTGAGGTCAGGTACACCTGAATTAATCAATTTGGCCAATAATGGCAGACAGGAAACAAGGAGCTGGCTGAAGTTCAGGAAGTAGTTCAGCTGGGCATAAAGCCCATTAGTTTAGTTTATTCTTTGGATGAGTGATGGAGGAAGAAATACCACTGTTCTGGCATTTCTAAGGCAAAAATGGTTGCCATGACTTCTTCAGATCATATCATTGTTACAGTGTATCATTTCTGCCTTAGAAATGTAAACACAAGGGTTTTAGTTTCAATATTAACGAACAAATTTCCAAAAATACACTCCACAGGAAAGCATACCAGAGATTTTTTTGTCAGCAACAGTTAAAATGAGAAATACGAATATAGAGTAAATGAATAAACATTATTTCTCTGTACAATAGTTCACAATAATGAATTTGATTAAGTTACACCATATATTGTTACTACGATACATACAAATGTTGACGAGGTGTTTACCTTGTTTTCAGATTTAGAGGTGTGTTAGGCTGGTTTCTAAATGTTGATGTAATGGCAGCTTAATTATTAGCACAATTCGACAATTTACAGCAAAAAGAAAGTTTGAGATTGTATCATTTCTGCAAATAGTTAAATATTCAAGTGTGCACAATGAAGTAGATTTACAGCACTAGCAACATCTGTAGCAGATATATTTTTGACAGAAACTAGCCTATGTTACCATGAAAACATATTTAACGAAGAGGACTATTAATAGTATTAGCTCTTACCTCTCTCCAGATGAACTACTGGACGTGTTTTCTTGTAGAAGACATGACTGACAACTGCAGCAAGTTTCACATCACCTGTAAATGCCAGTAATGATGTCTTCAGAGAGATATTTCAGCTTGGACCGGTTTGCCTCTCCAGGGCGGAGTTATGACTAGTTTTGCAGAGTTTTTTTTACCGGAGATTCAGGTTGTTAGCATGCACTACTGTACAATGCTTTGTTTGTTTTCTTCCGAGATACTTTAAAATGATTTTGTTTGCATTCTTGCTAGATAACTTACTTAAAAATGTCAAAGAACACTCCTAGTGGTGTTCATTTACATTTCACGCTTTGTATGTAGCTAGGCCTGTATAATTTGGTTGACCCAGGTAGCAAACAGACGTTGGGCCAACAGAAATACAACGTCTGTTTGCTACCTGGGTAACGTTTTTTTTTTTTTAATTATTAATATTTATTTATTTTGTTAATCTAAAATATCATATCTGAAATAACTATTTACTTTCCAATGCTTCTTGGGATTGAACTTGCAATGCTAAAAAAAAAAAAAAAAAAAAAAAAAAAAAATCCATTTCTTATTGGGTTTGGTTCAGTGCCACCTGCTGGATCGTTTTCATATTGCATGTAAATGTGTCAACGACGTGATGAGATTTTATATTATACAAATATATACCTTTTTAAAATGCAGAAACCTTAATAAAATGTATTGACATTTGTAATTCAAAAATGAGTTAATAAAAACCATTGACCTTTAATATTAATTCAACTTTTTATTATTATTAATTTGGCACACAAGTTTTAGGCTATGTTTTTTTTTAAATTCAATAATTTCACAAACTTGAAGAGCTACACTTGATGACACCATACAGTGTGTGTATTAAATTATTCATATATAAACAAATGCTTTTTTTTATGTGACTGGTAATGACTGTTTTTTTATTGACTGTCTGGTACAGTAGATGTGTTTCATAAAACCCTAAACTAGCTCATGGGCAATATATTCCCCAACTTCTACACTGAAGTTCCATGTGCACTGACTGTGTGTTTCTCAGAGATGCAGTATGAAGGCACATAGAGTGAGGATTTGAGGGTACAATGAGGTTTTTAATAAAGCGGACAGATTCTAATGTTTGGGACTTCACATGTGGACAAAGTCTACTCAAATTCAAAGAACTGTTCACTTCAGTTTGCACAGAATAAGCGAGAGAACCTATGTTACACAATAAAAGCCAATATCTTTACTTTAGTGAATGCAGAATACAAATTTGTACAACAATCTCTAGCATAATATCTTAGTCATTCAATAAAAAGTTCACTAGAATATTTATTGTATAATGAAGATAAAACAACACATTCAAGGGAAATATAATGCAGATTAAAGTTCTCTCTCATGTTTTGCTCATTTTTTTTTTGTCCTTTTTTTTTTTTTAAATCATTTTTGAAACATCTTGTTTCAGTTATGGCAACAAAGTCCAGCTTGTGCCGCCAAACGGTTTGAGCGTCCAAACCGCAAACAGCTTCTTGAAGTGAACTAGTAACTACAAACAATTACCAAATACATAATTCTGATTTAGAAAAGCCATAAAGCAAAGCAGTGTACTCTTGCACAGCAAAGTGAAGAAAGTAAGCAACAAACAGTTGTTGTTTCCTCTTTATCCTTTCCTTTCACATTCAACAGTTTGTGACACCAAAGGATCGGCCTCCCCCCTTGAGATCTCTTATGTATTTCTCATGTGCATTTATAGGGACCGGTGATTTCGTTTCGATGAATTCAAAATGTGATGAGTGACATCAGATTTGATTCGCAACACTTAGCAACTCTTTGGAATAAGGCTCTAATTGTGCATGTAGCAGAGAAACTCCCTGATTCCTAATCAAGCACTAATGTTGAGTGAGTGTGTTTGTGTGTGTGTGCATTCACTGCAATACGAAAATCCTGCATGTTTTTAATCCTCAGTGCTTTCAGAACACTGGGCTGGCATTATTGCTTGTCTACCCTGAAAAGCTTTGATCAACTTTAAATGATTTCGACAGACATCGTAGAAGTTTCTAATGGGTTTCAGACAACAAAGCTCGTACATCTGAGATTAAATCTAAAGCTATAGCTAAAGCAGTGTTTGAATGGCTCTTGTGGTTGTCATATTTAAGTCAGTGTGCCTTTATATGTAAAGTTAAAGGGATAGTTCACCCAAAAATGAGAATTCAATTCATGAATATCAATGGGGTCGATACTGTTTTGGCTGTAATTGCAACAAAAAATAAAATAAAAATAAAATATCATCACCAAATTTGGAATGACAGATTTTTTTTTTAGTGAACTATCTCTTTAATATGCAAGCACTTAAGGACAAAAGGGTTAACAGTCATTATCTCATTCATCAACTAGGCAACATTGTATGGTTAATGGGTGTGATAATATAATATGCATGATTTTAATTTTTTTCCTCGCTCGATTTATATTTTATTTTTTATTAAGAATACTACTTTCAATGTGAATGCTTTGTGCTCTATGTGTGGGTTGGGGACTGCATAGATTAATATCAGCTTATTGCCAGTTGCTGTGGTGCTCAAGAGGGCAGGGAGGATGCGCACACCGACCGAATACATAACAAATCTGAAGAGGAGAGCATCCCATGGCAAACTTGAACATACAAACTTTTTTTTTTGTGTGTGCAATCCAGTACAGATATCATGTCCAAGCTTGTTTGCATTGTCTAGTATTTCCATCTTTAGCTGCTGAATCCCCTGACGCTTTGCCACCTGAGGGGCAGTAAGGTGTGATGCAAGCCAGAGGCCACAAACAAACAGCCGCCGCACACGAAGAGCCCCGCGACGGGGGAGATATGCACATTGAGCGAAACGCGACGCCGGAGAAAGCTACAGCACCCCCTCTTGTCCAGCAATACAGAACCGATGCCTCCTTAAGGTGTGTCCTTTACATTAGGAAATCTGTAGATGAGCCAATTCACAAAAGAGGTGTACTGTACGTAGTATGCACGTATGCGTGAAGTAGGGTTACTTAAAGATATGGTATTTACAATTTCGGAGGAATTCGGTTGAAAATGAATTTAACAGGGTTTCAACAAAACGAGCTTTCTTTACAAACTGTGGGAACGTCTGTAAAGAGAGATGTGTCTCGTACTGGATGTCGATGAATAGTGCATCTAAGCTGTGATGGGTTAAAGGAGTAGTTCACTTTTAAAAAAAACATTTGCTGATAATTTATTCACCCCCATGTCATCCAAGATGTCCATGTCTTTCTTTCTTCAGTCGAAAAGAAATTAAGGTTTTTGATGAAAACATTCCAGGATTTTTTCTCCATATAATGGACTTCAATGGGAACCAAATGGTTCAAGGTCCAAAAGATCAAAGGGATGTTCAAAGGGCTTTAAACGATTCCAGACGATGAATAAGGGTCTTATCAAGCAAAACAATCGCTCATTTAAAAAACAAATAACAAAGTTTAAGTTTTATAAGCTCAAATGCTCGCCTTGCTCTGTTCTGTGATGCGCGTTCGTGACTCTCCTGTTCGAACGCGTTCATCAAAATGAACGAATCTTTTTTCGTGTCATTTGGTTCATTCAATGAACGAAATGAACTAATTGATGAACGAGTTCAAACAGGAGAGTTTTATGAACGAGTTCGAACAGGAGAGTTACGAACGCGCATCACAGAACCGAGCAAGACGACCATTTGAGCTTATAAAACTTAAACTTTGTTTATTTTAAAAATTTTTTTTTTTTTTTAACGATCGATTGTTTCCCTTGATAAGACCCTTATTCATCGCCTGGAATCGTTTAAAGCCCTTTGAACAGTTTGCACTGAAACTGTCTTTTGGACCTTGGACCGTTTGGTTCCCATTGAAGTCCATTATATGAAGAAAAATCCTGGAATGTTTTCATCAAAAACCTTAATTTCTTTTCGACTGAAGAAAGAAAGACATGGATATCTTGGATGACATGGGGGCGAGTAAATTATCAGCAAAAGGTTTTTTTAAAGTGAACTACTCCTTTAAAGTAGGCAGTGTATTCGGCAGCTGCAGAATAATCCCTCACAAAACTTTTTTTTGTTTTTTTCTTAGCATGACGAGTATCGTTTTACAAAACAAAATAGACACTTAAGCCTGAATCATACAGCTCTGTTGTTACGATTTCTTATGGACAGACATTCACCACCATTAAAGGGTAAACGACCCAAAAATGACCTTCTAGGAAAAAAAAAACACTTTGATTATTACCAGTAATAGTCAGATTTGAAGAAAGTACAGTATAGTTAACAAAATAGTAAATATTAACCAGTGAATACTCTACTTAATAAGGATCTCGCCTTGTAAACTTGGCAGTAATCCACAAAAATATACTTTTTCTTGAATCTGGTGAAGGTACAATACATACGTACTTACACCAAAAGTGATATATATTAAAGTTGCTATGTACATAACAAAAGAAAAAAAAAAAAGGTTTGGCTCAAATCTTTAATTTACAAACAGAACAGCAAGTGTTCATGGCTTTAGATATCGTTTCAAGATCTGCTTTGCATGTTAATCGTCTTCCAAGGTTTGCAACAATGCACACTATGACAGAAAACAAACATCGAGAGAGAAATGCTGAAAATTCCCAAACTACAGTACGACAAAATTACATAGAGGCTTTGGCTTGCGTTACCATTGAGTTGTCGGAGCTGCATGAATGTACAATGACGGCTACCTTTTCTCTTCCTATTTGTTAAAAACACCAACAAAAATAAAAAGAATGATCAATTTAGAGACATTTTCATTTCTTTGAACTGAGGTGAAATTTTAGATACAAGCCTTCCCTCGTAAAACCGATCCGAATCTATCGTCAAATACCTTTAAATAAATTAATAAGTGACATACTTCATATAAGGGCGAGTGCAGATGCAGATTGTTTAATACATGAGCCCAACAGGCAGGAGGCTTCCAACAGAAAGCCGCCCCTAAACTTTCTTTGATTGTTTGCAAATTCAACAGCGAAAACAGCTACGAGTGTCAAACTGCACCAGTGACAACAATTATCGAAATGTTTTCTTCATACATTGGACTATCCCACAATGCAATTTGCATCAAGTACCTGATAACACCTGTTTTTTTGAGTACACCATTCATTCCGACTGCTCGACTTGAGAATTTCTCTAATTCTCCCCTCACATCTGTTAAATTTCGATATGTCAGGACATTTTCCATTTCTTTCCCCATCCACCTACTTACAAAAAAACAAAAAAGTGAAATGACATTAAATTATATCAATAGAATAATAACAATAATGACCCTCCCTGCTGTCACTCCTCTCTCCCTTTCCCCCTGCCCAGCCCTGCGTGTGACTGACTGGCCGTCAAGCTCTATGTCACCCAGGTGTCCATGCGCATGCGCTTGACCGTGGGGCTCTCTCTCTCCTCGCCCCCAGCGGCGGGGGGTCGGCCCAGGCCGAGGGGAGAGTGGAAATCAGGCCGGTGATCCTCTCGGTCGCTTCCGTCGTAGGAGGAGCAGGAGGAGCTGAGGCTGTCGACGGGCGAGCGGCCCATGTCGGGACGGCCGGAGGGAGCCTGTTGCTGCTGCTGCTGCTGTTGCGGGAAGCCGGACGGGGTCACGCGCTCACGTGGAGGAGAGATGGGCTCTGATTTAATGTTGACATGCTGGCTGGTGTTGATGGAGAGATTTGAGCCCTGAGGTAAGTGGCCACCTCTGAACAAAGTTACAAAATGACAAATTAGTACAAGTGTATAAAACGGTACCATTTTACAATTTTAGTAAACAAATGAAACGAACGACACTTCTACAGCATCTTAGTTCATGTTAATTTCAACATTTACTGAAGCGTTATTAAAATCAAAAGTTGAATTTGTTAAAGGAGTAGTTAAATTTTAAAAGAACTTTTGCTGATAATTTACTCACCCCCATGTCATCCAAGATGTCCATGTCTTTCTTTCTTCAGTCGAAAAGAAATTAAGGTTTTTGATGAAAACATTCCAGGATTTTTCTCCATATAATGGACTTCAATGGGAACCAAATGGTTCAACTGCAAACTGTTCAAAGGGCTTTAAACGATTCCAGGCGATGAATAAGGGTCTTATCAAGCGAAACGATCGCTCATTAAAAAAAAAATTACAAAGTTTAAATTTTATAAGCTCAAATGGTCGCCTTGCTCTGTTTTGTGTGACTCTCCTGTTCGAACTCGTTCATCAAAATGAACGAATCTTTTCCTGAGTCAATTTGTTCATTTCGGTCGTTGAATGAACCAAATGACATAAAAAAGATTCGTTCATTTTGATAAACAAATTCGAATAGGAGTCACGAACGCGCATCACAGAACAGAGCAAGGCGAACATTTGAGCTTGTAAAACTTAAACTTTGTTATTTGTTTATTAAATGAGCGATCGTTTCGCTTGATAAAACCCTTATTCATCGTCTGAAATCGTTTAAAGCCCTTTGAACAGTTTGCACTGAAAGTGTCTTTTGGACATTGAACCGTTTGGTTCCCATTGAAGTCCATTATATGGAGAAAAATGCTGGAATGTTTTCATCAAAAACCTTAATTTGTTTTCGACTGAAGAAAGAAAGACATGGACATCTTGGATGACATGGGGGTGAGTAAATTATCAGCAAAAGTTGTTTTTTAAAAGTGAACTACTACTTTGACTAATGTTAACAAGAATTGATAATAAATACTGTAACACATGTATAGGTCATTGTTAGGTAATGTTAGCGTTACCCATAAATGTATATACAAATTAACTGCAAAAATAACTAAACTCAACAGCAACTATGTGACGCTGAAATAAAGAACCATATAGTCCTAAAATAATAATATCCCACCCTCCATCTGTTTACTCAATGGCGCTTGCAGCAATAACAGCACCTGAATCATTTTAGAGGGTGGTATCTAATTAGAGCATGCCTGGCAGAATGTGTCAAAAACAGTTCACTAATGTTGTGATGGCACAACCACTGCATTTAAATTAAAGCTTTCATTCACAGGCTCTGGAAACCTTTTAGATTCTTTTTATATTCCTTTTTTCTGTCTGTGAGCAATGCACTCTGCTGTTACAGTGAAACTATACAAACATATAATTATATAAATGTATAGCGCTGCACAACTTGTTGTTTTGACATCTATCTATATATCTATCTATCTATCTATCTATCTAAAAAAAGAAAAGAAAAAGAAATTGCATTTTGCAAAAAGAAAAACCATTAAAATGTATGGTGACATTAGCTTTAAAATAATTAAGTCATTATGTGTCTCACAATTTTTAAATGTAATTCCTATTATTATTATTTTTTTATTTATTATTATTTAAATTGGTATACAGACCATCATAAAAATCTTAAAGTCCAAAAAATACTATTTAATTTTGTCTAAAAGCAAAGTGTGTAATTTTTGAGCATTTTCTGCAAAAACAAATCATTTTCCATTAAAAACACCGGATGCATTTACTTGAGAAACACAATGACACAAGATATTAAGACTTTTTTTAACAGGAAAACATAACAAAAATCAGCCAAACACATAGTCCCACCCAAACCTCATGGCACTGGTTTGTCTCTAGTATTAAAAAATAAAATAAAAATACTTCAGTTTTAAGCAAAACATGGTTTTATACTTTTTTCTTTTCATTTAAGAGTGAATTATAACCTGTGCATTCATCCATCCTTCCATTCCGCTCTCTACAAAATAAAAAATGGAAAAGTATGGGAACTAAGAATGCATTTGACCTCGTGCCCCGGAACATTAGTTAGTGTTTTGCAAACCTGTGTGTGTGTGTGTGTGTGACTGCACACATCTATGTTACTCACACCAGCGAGCTGAGAGCTGCCTGGCCCAGTTGATGCTGTTGCCATGCCGACATTGAGCCTATAGAGAGCCCTGGAGAGCCAAAGCCTTGCAGAGAGGAGAGCTCAGCACTGCTCAGGGAGTATTCTAGAGCCAAACAACACACAACAATCAACAACAGAGTTTATGAGTCACTCAATCACCTCTGCGCTCACACTGTAGAGCCTTTCAAGTATTTGTGTTATGTTTATTATTTAGCTCAGAGCTGGATGGTGTCATGAAACGTAAGGTCTTCCTTTTTTTATCAAGCCACTCATAGATGAATTAAAATTAAATCAAACCATGAATGAATGAATACATTGTGTGTGTGTGTTTTCTATTCACCAGAGTTGTAAGCAGTGGGCATGCCTGAGTAGACCAGGCCTTGTGGTGGCAGACTCGGGGTGGTGACGGAGACCACCGGTGTGGCCAGAGCCTGGGAACTGCTTATCCTCTGAGTGTTCTGCACACAGGACCACATACACAAAGTTAATGAGATAGAAATCCCATCACACACAAGCATGCATACTCTATCCAACCATGTGAAGCACTGTCATTAGAATAGTGTGGTTTGATGAAAATCAAGTGGTAATACCATTTTACACCAGTAAGAGGCGCTGCAGATTCATTCTAGAAAGAAATCAAATTGTTTTGCAGGATGCTGTCAGTTAAACAGCTTTAATTCAGAAGCCCCAGATCAATACAAGAAAATATCATAAAAAATAAAGAATGTCTTATACATGGGGTATACCTGCATATCTGTCAACAAGCTCACTGCAAAGTTTTGCTAATAAGCACAATAATATAGAAAATCCACACGCAAACAGTCATCGACAAGAAAAACCAAACTCTCTTATGAAATAATCAGGTTTGTCTAAGATGCTTCTACTAAAATACCTTAAAACTAAAAACAATGGTTGACATAGTAAGAGTATAGAGCTATACAATTATTTGGGAATGGTTGAATTTGCTGAGAAATATTTGAGTTCATTGAAAAGAGTTCTAAAAAAAAGGGGGGGGGGGGGTCAGTGGTTTTTCAGGGGTTCTTTGCAGTGGTCATGGTGCTTTATAGCACCACTACCATTTAAAGAACCTGTTAAGCCCAGTTTGGTTCTTCAGTGGTTCTCTGTGGTGGTTAACGTGTTCTATGGCACCTCTTATGGTTCTACATAGCACCATATGACAAAGATAAGTGGCACTTAAAGTGGTTCCCCTATGATTACAAGCCAATGAACCATTTTAGTGCTATTTAGCACCATTTTTTTAGAGTGATATATCTTGATAAAGCAGTTTGAGACACATGAGATGAATGTGGTCTTTTTCTCGAGAGATGAAATGAGAGGCAGCAGACATAAGGAAACGTCTTAAATTGCACTCCATTTAATGTCACTTCTGCCGAGGAGACGCAACTGATATTAATATTACTGATATTAAAGAGAGTTTATTTGCTGGATGTGATGCACTGAATAAGGTAAATCTCTTATCCAAATAGCATCCAGCATGCAGTGAAATAATATAGTCACCGCAAGCCAAACGTGTGGACATGCAGTGTGTGGACACACACACACACACACATGCATACTGGGTTTTCATTTTTTACGGGGACATTTCATGGACATAATGATTTTTATACCACACACACACATGAGAAAAATAACTTATTTTTAATTTAGGGCTGTCAAACTGTTAATCACGATTAATCGCATCCAAAATAAAAGTTTGTGTTTACATAATATATGTGGGTGCACTGTGTATAATTATTTTATATATATAAATACACACACATGCTTGTATATATTCAAGAAATATTTTCATGTACTGTATATAGATTTATTTATAATTTATATTATATAAATATTTAATATAAAAATAATATTTTTTTCATAAATATACATGCATGTGTGTGTATTTATTAGGGCTGTGCAAAAGTTAATTGCGATTAATCGCAATTAATTTTTGCACAGCCCTAGTATTTATATATATATACACTGTAAAAAAATATTGTTGGTTTAACTTAAAAAAGTAAGCAACCTGGTTGCCTTAAAATTTTAAGTTCATTGAACTGTAAAAAGTGAGTTAATACAATGAAGGAGAATGATTTAATCATCAGAAACTCAAAATTATATGTTATCTGAACTAAATAAATTATTTAAGTTGATTTGACACAAGAAAAAAATGTTATGATTACTACACTGTAAAAAAAAATGTTGGTTTAACTTAAAATTTTAAGGCAACCCAGGTTACTTACTTTTTTAAGTTGATTGAACTGGAAAAAGTGAGTTAATACAATGAATGAGATTAATTTAATCATCAGAAACTCAAAATAATAAGTTATCTCAACTAAATAAATTATTATAAAGTTGATTTGACAAAAGAAAATATGTTGTGATAACAAATCTTGAAAATATTTTTTTCACAGTGCACTGTAAAAAAATATTTAAATAAGAATAAGATTTGTTATCACATTTTTTTCTTTTGTCAAATAAACTTAAATAATTTATTTAGTTGAGATAACTTATTATTTTGAGTTTCTGGTGATTAAATTCATCTCCTTCATTGTATTAACTCACTTTTTCCAGTTCAATCAACTTAATATTTTAAGGCAACCAGGTTACTTACTTTTTTAAGTTAAAACAACATTTTTTTTACAGTGTTGTCTCTCATTGTACAGTAGTGTTTCAATATTGTAAAATGCATTCACATTTGTTTCATTTGCCAGTGAAAATATGTTCTCTGACAGCATTTGGCGTTCTCCTGAACTGATGTCATCATTTTGGACTCAACTCCATTTTAACAACATCATCATAAGTAAAGCAATCACTGCCCAGGCCAAAAAACAACAAGAGAATAAAATTGAGCTTTGATTGATCAAAGCGTTAATGATAAAACTAATACCAGATTTATTGGTGAGGTCTTAGGCAAATATTAAATAATTACTAATGATTGCATCTTCGGGGATTCATCATTTTCCTTTTCTTCTTCAAAAACACCCACAGCAATCTTTCTTTAGCGCAAACACGCATACACGTACATTTCGGAACATAATGTGGCTCTTTCAAACTTCCTTAAAAAGGCACAGTACATGCAGTGTGAGTCACACACAACGCAGACCAGACATCCACACAACACTCATGAGTTTATCCACTTCAGGTTGGGTTTAGTGTATCTTTACGCAAGCAGTGGAATCATCTCACTAAGCTGCGTGGCTTTGTTAGTTAAAGCAGTGTGATTTTAAAACCAAACTGGACTCTGTATCAGTCTTCCCAAGCAATTCTGTGAAACTCACCAACTCCATCTCTTCCTCCTCCGACTGCTTCCAACAGAAAAGAGCAGACGAAGCTGTCAGTAAAGAGCCAGGTGGCACACCTAAGCTGAGCAGGGTCAACCCCACGTTCTCACCAGGACGTGCCTTTAAACTAACTCATTCAAATTCAGAGACTAAAGTGTGAACCGAACGCTGCATCAGGTTACTTGCAATAAAACTGGAAATTCAAATTCGGAGTCAAATTCAAATGAAAAGTCAAATTTGTTGGCACTAAATACACAACATTTTCATTCCTCATGGCCATGTGGGTTTGTACGACACAGCAATTAGGTGTGAAATGCTAAACAAAGGGAGAGTAATCGGGACAAAAAGTAGTGGGGTTTTTAAGTCCTTAGGGGAAAAAGCAATCATTGATAAGATTGACCTCACAGCTAGGATGCGCTTAACCCTTCACCTCAGACACTCATCCATGCATGAGCTTGTGTGTCCAATAGCTCCATCAATCATTTTGCTTTCATTGGCACAGTCCTCCACTTGATTGAATTGATTATTTACCAGAATAGAATAGTAAACACTAGGAGAGCGAGAAAATTTAGCTAATAACTCATGAGAATATACTGTAAGAAATACATGCTACATTTTTAACATGCATTTAATATTTATTTATAATTTTTATAAATTGAACTGGATAAATTATAATATATATATATAGTATATATATATATATATGGAGACAATTAGCTGGAAATAAGTTGTAATAAATACATACAATATATAGAGCAGACTTGTTATATTTATTTATAATTTTTATAAATTGAACTGGATAAATTCTATATATATATATATATATATATATGGAGACAATTAGCTGGAAATAAGTTGTAATAAATACATACAATATATAGAGGCGGTCCAAAAAAAACCCACATTTTTTATGTCTTTGAAAGAAGTCCCGGTAACACTTTACTTGAAGACACCCCTTAAGACTCAAATGACACGTTATGAATGCGAATGAGGTTTTATGCATGTTTATGACAACTGTCATTAAGTGACATTCGCTCAATTATGACATTTTTAGTTGTCATAAACATGAATAAAACCTCATTCATATTTGATGTCTTGTTAGTCTTATACACACCCCTTCAAGTAAAGTGTTACCGAAGTCGCTTATGCTCATCAAGCCAGCATTTATTTGATCAAAAATACAAAAAAAAAACAGTAATATTGTGAAATATTATTAGAAATTAAAATTATTTAAAATGTATTTCTGTCAAAGCTGATTTTTCAGCATCATTACTCCAGTCTTCATTGTCACATGATCCTTCAGAAATCATTCTGATATGCTGATTTGGTTTGATTATTATCAATGTTGGAAACAGTTGTGCTGCTTAATAATCTTTTGGAACCTGTGATACCTTTTTTCAGGATTTAATTAAGAATAATCAAAATAGAAATATTTTCTAACAATATAAAACTCTACTCTCTAACTTTTTATCAATAGAACACATCCTTGCTGGATAAAAGTTAAGAAAAAAATACTGACCACTGACTTTTCAACATTCCCGTATATTGTTAAAAAATGTCTATTTTAAGTAAATGTTGTTCTTTTTAAACCTTATATTCATCAAATAATCCTAAAAAAAATCATAAAACAGCAGCACAACTGTTTCCAACATTTATAATAAATCAGCATAATATGAGTCACATTACAGACACTGAAGACTGGAGTAATGGCTGATGAAAATTTAGCTTTGCAATTATATTTTCAAGTATATTCAAATAGAATTATTTTAATTTTTATATTTCACAATATAACTGTTGTTTCAGTATATTTGATCAAATAAATGCAGGCAAGAGACTTCTTTCAAAAACATAAAAAATAGTAATGTACAACTTATTTCGAGCTAGTAGCACAGAGCTCTCCCTCATTATATATTTGCAAAGTGCTAGTCAACTCCATAATTCACAGTTCTACTAGATACTTTTGGCCCAAATGTAACCAGTTTTCACTTCTAAAAGAAAAAAACCTTATTTATGGCATTAGGGTGTCTGTTTTTGCATGTGTGTATGCATATCCCTTTGTTTAAAGCTATCCGACAGCATGGAGTTGTATAGAACTGAGGACGCTGCGCTTTCTACTCAGTAGTGGCAGACCAGTGCTGTCTTAATACCAGCACTCAATCAATAACAGTGGGGAGACACGACAAGGGCGACAAGATATTATCTGGCTCACACTATGGGCTTCTGATTAAGCCTTCATCCCCACTCTGTCACACTGCGATGTGATTAATTTAATACCATTATGTTCTAATGACAGCCTGTCTGCAGGCACACTCACAGCCTCTGCCTTAGTCTGTCTGTCTGAGGCAGTTCATTCAGACAGACACACACAAAAGGACACTCACTATAAACGCAAATGTACACAAATGAATAATGCTAGGCTTCTTACTACTGATGACTTCAGATGCCACGAGCTTGGCATGCGGGATTTGTTTTGATTCATGGTGGGTAAGAAACTGTACCGCTTCCAGATGCTGGCGTGGTATTCCATACACTCGCGTGCATATGCATATATTTACAGCACTGAGCTAAGAGAGCCTTGCGTAACCCCAACTCTATTTACCAAACAAGATTCTGTACACAGTGCAGCTTCCACAGCTGAAACCAACTAATTATTGACCATATTTAAATATAATAATAATAATATTCTTTATTTCTGCTTCCCATTTTATGTTGTCGTGATTAATGAGGCTGACAGCCGGGTATAGCCTCAGGTGCTGAATGTGGCCAGAGCTCTCTGCACCTTAATTATAATCATTTGAGAGGCCCTTTAATTTCTAGATGAATAATAGAAGGAGTGAGGGTACCTGGATCTTAGATATTTCGCTCCGTTGCTCAGCTTGTCGTATAGCTGACACCGTTCCAGTTTCATTTCACAGTCGGCGAACTGATCTAAAGACCGTAATCTCACTCAAACGCTTCCAACATCGATTTGGAGTGGATTTTGTGTGAATGTAGAATCGATTTTTTTATACTCACCAGGGGTGGCATCATGCCCTTGCTGGATGCGGGGATGACGACTCTCAAGTCTGGCTTGCGGCTACCGATGCCCATGTTGCCCCCCGGTGGCGGCGGTGACTTCGCAGGCATGACTTTACCCAGTCCGTTCCCGCTGGGTGTACCCAGAAGCCCCGGCGAGCCCCTCGGGTTAACAAAGCCGTTTCCTGCTGAGACACACATATGGGCGAAAAGCATCATGGGATTGTGCTCTAATCAACCAATCGGACGACATGCCATTTTCCCAGCTGCAGTCGTAGAATCTCATAGCATGCAACGTTAAGTGTTCCCGACCCCTCTGGGAAAGTTCTAGTAATTATCCCACACATTAACGAAAATAAAACATAAATTTTGAAATTGATGAGCCTTTGGTTCTGTTGCCGTACAATGGCGTCAAAGCTGTTTTCGTGTGTCCCAGGATGAGAAAAGCAATTCAGTTTAACAAATGTAGTGTGACTTGAGCTCTTTAAGAAGGAATGGCTAAAGTCATTACAACTGAGTGCAGCCATTCACTACTATCAAAGGCAATTAAAGTGCCATTTTGGAAAACAAATCTTAAAACTTTGGTGGAGTGTCAATGGTATGTTTACATGTGCTGTACTTTGCCGTTCCTAGCTCGAAACTGAACTGCGGACACTTTTATTTGGATCTTTCTCCGTTCAAAATGTGCATGCTAAATGTTTGCACGTGCGGCAATGACCCCAAAAAGCACAATGAGAGGAACCCGGTTTGACTGAACGGCAGTCTGTTGAACATCAACAATAAATACTGAAAAAGTTTGCGGCCGAATGATGTCATCACATGAGAACGGACAGGCTAATCCATCAAGTCTGCACCTGACTGACCTCACACCCGTATACTATATATATTGCGGGTTTCTGGTTTCATGTGAACTTCAGAGTTTTACAAAGATGTCTTTCTACCATCTGCTGGCTCACATTGTTAGCAAGTTCCTTCACACAACCATCTGAAATATTCTCGAACAATCACGGGTCATTTACTCACACAATGTATAACCTCCAAAGACAAACACAGGAATTACGATTGGCCGACATTCAAGCCCAAAAGCACAATTGCCCTTACGGTCTCTGTTTCAATGTTTTCTCTTGTCAGTATGAAAAATGCTGAGCAACTAAACAACAACCACAAGGCAAACAAGTGCAATGTCTTCTGGTTTCGAGAAAAGGTCCATTTCATTTCCATCTGTTTGGATACAGCAAAGTGCAATGTCATTTCCATGTGTATTCTTCATAACAGCAGCTTGATTAAATGTTAGTCATGGGGCTTTTTCTGCCCCCCACCCAACGCTCATTTCCTGTGGGACAGCAAGAGAGAGAAGGCCATCATCTGAGAGACAGAGAGCAGAAACCTGCACTTACTGTGTTCCCTGTTAAAACACAAACACGCGTAATGCTCTTTTTTTGGTAGAATCTATAGACAGAAATACTCATAATCAGACAATTGAGAGAAGTGTGTTCGGAAAATGATCCAAGCGAGATTTGAACGAGGATTACCCGCACGTAACGTGTCGGTGCAAGTGCACACACATCTCAGACAACTTTCAAGATTTTATTCTCAGATTGTAAGAGAATCTCAGTTGAAGTTAAATCTGCATGCAGTTATGTGTGTTCACTTACTTATGAAACATAATGTACATCACCCATCTAACTTGGAATAGCAAAGAAAAGCAAACTTTTTGCAGGTTATAATTAAAAGCTTAAGCACTGCATCAGCTGTTTCATCAATTGTCTGGGACAAATAAATACCTTTCATGAAACTTGGCAAGTATAACATTAACATTCATTTTGCAGATGCTCTTATCCAAAGTGACAAAGAAAATTAAGGAATAATTCAACACAAGTGAGCAGAAATAGAATAAAACATTTAACAGATATCTTGTATTTATATCTTGCGTATAAATATATATATATAGCATTTCATAGAATTATATATAATAAAAATAGCCCCCAATCGGGTCATGGAATCTATACGACCCCAATCGACTTTTACTTAATAATAATAAAAAAGGTTCCCTTCATCTCAGTGGAATAAGATTTTGTGACTTTTCATACATTATCTATCTATACACACACACACACACACACACACAAAAAAAAAAAACTGGGCTTGATTCGGTTATTCTGAAGCTATCTAAAAGAAATATGACCCCACATTGAAATGAATGGGGAATGTGAAAAAAAAAAAAACTAAATATATTTTCTTCATTTGTCAAAAAAAAAAAAAAAAAAAAAAAAAATCCGCAATAAATCTGAAAATTTTTACACAGAAATGAAGGCCTAGTGCTAGTGCATAAATGCAATGTATCATAAAAAAAATAATATTTAATATGCAAGCTAATGGTATAGTTGAGGAATTGTGGTATATGGATACAAAAGTACTTTATATCTCCAAAAACACAGCATTAATGAATAGATGAGAAGTAAACAAACAAAATGATATATTATTTCTATGATTAAAAATGTATATTTTTTGTACAATTACTCAATCAATTGTTGGGGTCGTATAGACCCCGAAGCCCAGAAGTGTAAACAGGAAACCAAGAATATGCATAAATATAATCTGCATAATACTTTGATGACTTTGATGTCTACTATTCTAATTGAGGAAAACAGTACTTAATAAAGAATGCGTCTTTAATTTTTGGATGCAACTGTGAATGTTTATTCAATTGACAGAAATATATGATGAATGTGGGTACTGGAATGTGTGAACCTGCAGTGAAAGGGAGTGAAATATCTTGTAATTACTGTAAAAAAAAAGCACAGCGCCAGTGCATTACTCTGATAATGATCAAAAGGAGGGAGGATGATATCATTACGTTGAAATTCTCCCAATTTCTGAAAAAGGCGCCTGTTCTCAAAAAGGCGTAATGTGTAACTGAGGCCCTACTGAGACATAAGTTGCTCTCATTCTGAGCTGTGAGCAGTGTCCCCACCCCTCTTGCTCATGTACTGTAAGTCACTTTGAATCCTCTCATACCCAACAGAGTGAATCCAGAGTCACAATTCCTAAATGAACACATAATACAGAAGAGTTAATACATTGCTGTCTTGACTTGAACAATGCATAAAATAAGTATCTCGCTCAGCTCTGAGTAATGCATGATCCTTTGGGAGCATGGTTACATAATGACCCGCTTTTACAAAACAAATAATTTGTTTCATTCCAGAGCAAGACTGTTTTGATAAAAAGTACCAGATAAGTCCTTCCTTACCATTTATAAGTCATCATTACCTTGAGCAACATGGTGTCTTCAAAGGGGCAAAGTATGCATGAATGAGAAAAGACTAATGGATTTCAGAATCAAAGCTTCGCCTCCCTAATAGATTAAGAGGAACAGAGTCCAAATTCTAATTATAGTCTTAATTAATGAGGCTGAACAGTACCTCTTTAACGGGTGCAGCCATATTGTTTTGGCTCCGGAAATCATGCGCAGGAACAATGTGAGCTGGGAAAAGCGTTCCAACTGCTGGTGCCAAAAAATCCAATTCATATTTTACTTGGAGAACCCTTTTGTACAAAAAATAAATATCATTTGTTATGCCTCTATGAGGAATCTGAGAAAAAAAAAAGCCCAGCAGCACTGGAGCGGGAGGGCGCCGTGGACCTCAAGATATAGTAAAAGTAAAGTAACTGGCACATAAGCGCTCTTTCGAGGAAGCAGGCTAATTCGTCAGTATTAATGAAGGAAGCTGTGCTGCGTCTAGGCACATTGCATAACAGAGATACAACTCCAAACAAACCCTCGTTTTTAACAGAGGCGGCCCCGAACGGCCCAAAAGCACATGCAACTGAATTCGAGATCGCCTCATGAGATTGCTAATTGGTGCTCATCGAAACACGTATCATGTATTTCTGGAAACATTAGGTTTGCTTCAATTCCTCTTTGTGCATGATCACGCTTTGTGAAGTTTGGCATAATCTGCAAAGCTGAGAGTTTGCTCTTGTCAACTTGAACAAGGTGTCTTTAACACTTCAACTAGTAGTGCCAAATTGTTTGCAATAAACTAATTGAATGTGTGGGATCTGCTCTTCTAATGCATCAGCCACACTTCTGCGATTCCATGCTGAAAGCGCATCTAACTTTGCAAGAATTCATTGCGTTTCACTTTTAATTAAATTAAGATCCAGCAACTTCGCTGCTATAACACACTGAATATAAGTCAATTTAACTATTTTATATTTAACACTCTACTATTATTAGAAAACACAAGGTTCTAACATGTTCGGCACTGTCGGCTATTCGATTGTGAAGCACAAACACTTTGACAGACCTAAGAAGTGGTGCTGTTCAGATGGAGATGATCGAAAGATATCGCGGATCAAAAGAGACTGAGCACAAAGCATCAAGGACTTGTTCACCTTCTGGAGTTGAGGGCTCTTCAGGCAGAAGTGATTTGTGCTGGGCTGTCTCCCTTCTTTCTTTACATACTTTACACAAATAAGCACATGAGCTAAAGGACAAGACAGGTGCTGAAGTATGTTGGGACAACTGACAAAAAAAATGTAACTAAATCTTGAGTAGGGTGACCTGAGTAGTTTTTCCCGGGACAGTCCTGCATTTCAACTCTAATTTTAGTGTCCCGACTTATTATGAAAAAATCATGGTTTGTCCCTTATTTCACCACTACTTTCTGTATAAAGTAGTTATCTACTTGAAAAGCTACACTGTTTCTAGCAACTATTTCAACAACTTTCATTTTATTTTTATTTTTTAATAACCACGCATAAACATTATTCACTCAAAAATGAAAATTCTGTCAGTATTTACTCACCCTCATATTGTTCCAAGCCCGTAAGACCTTCGTTCATCTTCGGAACACAAATTAAGATATTTAAGATATTAAGATCGCTCCTGCATACTAGTCCATAGGCTTCTTGAGGGAATGACTCTTGCTGGCATCGAAAAGTCATTAAAGACATCGTTAAAAATAGTCCAAGTGACTACAGTGGATCAATTTTAACTTTATCAAACGACGAGAACACTTTTTGTGCGCAAAAACAAACAAAAATAACGACTTTATTTCAACTATTCACTTCCTTCTCCATGGGCCTGTAGTCAGTTAACGTAGTGTGATTGAGTAAAGCTACGTCACACGTAGGCTCACTATTGGCCGACGCTGGTCATGTGTGTGATGCGTGTGACGTA